TGCTGATCTTCTGGTGTTTTGATAAGTTAAGCACTGTAAACTCTAGCACACATGTATCAAAGCCAGTTCCTGGAGGGCCGGAGCCCTGCAGAGTTTAGTTCTAACCCTAATTAAACACACCTGATCAAACTTTTTGAGTGCTTTAGGCTTGTTTGATACCTACAGATAGGTGTGTTGAAGCAGGGCTGGAACTAAAATCTGCTGGGCTCTGGCCTCAAGGAATTGACTTTGACACCACTGTTTTAGCAGATATGAAATTTATCAGGGGTTTTCACAGGGGAATGAACTGCAAACTTGTACAGCATATGTTTTACATAGCGGATGCCTTTCCAGCCGCAACTCTGTACTGGGAAACACCCACACACTCTCACATTCACACACTCATACACTACCGCCAGTTTAGTTTAGTCTTTGGACTTTGGGGGGAACTGGAGCACCTGGAGCAATATGTCCATTTTTGAATAAATAATATGATTCTTCAATTTAATTCTAACTTGCACTCCTGGTCCTCCATAGAGAAAACACTGTAAAATGTAATAAGTTGACCTTACTTTGAAAAATTAAGGAAACCGATTGCCTTAAAATTCCGAATTAAAGTAGCGTATTAATTTTAAGTGAGCATAAGTTAAAACAGTTTGTATTTACAACTTCTTAATAAAGTAAAATTCAGTACTGTTGACTCAAAATAGCTAGTTGTGTTAACTTCTTATTAGTGTTCACATTACTAAGAAAATATTAGGAAATCAATTGCCATAAGTAAACTGAACTAAAAAATTTAAGTAAAGACAAAAACCAAAACCTTACTTACTCCCAGGGCTGTTTATAATGAAGTTGATATTTTGCCGCGTTTCATAAATTCTAATTTTTACGAGGTGGGTCGTTAGCTCAACGTTTAACTCTCAAGCTGGAGGACCAGGACATACATTTTTGGTTTGTAGGGAAAAACCAGAGCACCAGGAGGAAACCAACACAAACACGAGGAGAACATGCAAACCCCACACAGAAATGCCAACTGGCTCAGCCAGGGCTCGAACCAGTGACCTCCCCCCCCAAATAGTTATCCATAATACATACTCTTTCCTATGGCCTATGCTGATGCAGTGTGAAACATCAAACAAGTAAGAATAGCCCACGAGTAACTGCTTCAGGTTTGAAAAGCCCTATTGATTGTGTTGTTGCAGCATCAAGCAACATGAACGCTACGGCCAGCTGATTCTGACGTCGCCCTCTGCTGCTGACACTGGAGAATACAGCTGCTGGGTTCTGCTCTGTGACGGACAGGAATGTGAGAAAGATGTAGACACCATCTCTGCCACCTACATATACTTCACAGGTACATTATTCTCTTACAAATAACACAAATACATCTATATGATCAATAAACTCCAAAGACATTGTTATGCTTCTCTTTGTATCCAGACAAAGATGAGCTGTTTGTTCCCTCTGCCATTCATTTTGAGATCATTTACCTGCGCCCTGACAAACCTGCCACCATCCCCTGCCGGGTGACCAACCCCAAAATCAAAGTCTCGCTACACAGAGAAGTTCCTGCAGAGGAAATTGCTGTGGATGGGACTCAGATCTCCTACAATCCCACTAAAGGCTTCATCATCCAAAACCCCAGTCCAGAACATAAGGGAGCGTATTACTGCAAGGCCAACAGCACTAGCAAAACCACCCCGCAAATATCAACTAAATACCAGCTGCTGTATGTGGAGGGTAAGAGGAGAACATACATTTACTGTCAGGATACACATTTTTGGCATTTTGTGATGCATTTCCTCCTTTGCAGTACCTAGTGGTCCCCCTTTTGCAACGATTGAGGCTTCTTCAAATTCAGTGAGTGGTGGAGATGTATTTAATGTTACCTGCACAGTGCTGGGTGAACCAGAGATGAATGTCAGCTTCAGCTGGAGGTATCCCGGCCAGGTAAGTATTGCATTTTTACACATTAAGGGCTTTTGCACTAGGACCTATTATAGCAAAGGTGTCAAATTCAGTTCATGGAGGGCCACAGCTCTGCACAGTTTAGGTTTAACCCTAATTAAACACACCTGAACTAATTGAGCCCTTCAGACTTGTTTAAAATCTTAGGGTAAAGCTGCAGTTACACTAGAGTTTGTGTATGCGAAATTCAGACGGCGCTGCGAAAAGGGGAACTTGTCATAACATATATCGATCAATCAGCTTGGTTGTCAAGGCAGAATTTCAAGTGCAACCAATCCTTTTAAACAGACATGTTGAATCGGGTAAAGAAATTAAAATGTTAAGTTCATAGAACTTTAAATATTAAGTAAAAGACTTTTGCTGCCTAATGAGTAAGTTACACACATCTGTTTAAGTTTTGATGCCAAAAAAACTTGATATTTAAGCATTGTCAGGTTATATTAAATTAAAATCTTTAGTAATGATAACAGCGGGGTTTACAGTATATAAAATAAATGTAGACAAAGTGGGCAATAGTGGACAGTCTGAAAGAAAAGTGTGATTTTGGTCATTGTCATTGCCATTTGTTATGTAGGAATTAATTTGATTTCATCTAGAATGTATTCGTTCAGTCATTGTACACTTGTCACTGGTAGTTTCTCTTGTGGTGGGTTAGACCCTACTCTGAAGTAAAAGCTGATGTAGTAGCCCAGCAAAAACTTCCTATAACTAAAACTCTTACGAGGAAATGAAAAAAATTTACGTATTGTCTGAAAAATGGCTATTTCATTCATATGAAATTATTATATTTTTTTAAGGGAGGGGTGATCCTAAACCCCAGTCCTTTGCTTACCCCTTGGGGCATGGTAAAATTGTACTAAAAAGTACAAATGAGATTGTTCAAATTAATGAAAATTAGCCACTAGGTGAAAAAGTTACAAATAGCCTTTTCTGAACAAAATCATGCTATATTGAAAATGAAAGTAATGACTGCCGAAAACTCTGACTTACATTTATAGTATGAAATTACCAAATTTTATTTAAAGTAAATAAGTGTAAAAAAATTACATGTGTGTATGTGTCTACTCAGGACCAGAGACCGGTGAACATTCAGGACTCCTGGAGGCTGATAAACCGCGGTGTGGGACACACCACACGCATCTCCCAGAGCGTCATGATTGTGGATGATGTTGAAACCATTGATTATGGAAAGTATATCTGCACTGCCAAGAATAAGAATGGAGAGACACTGGTGGCCACATCGGTGAAATCACGTGACTAGGAGAAACGACATAGATTATATTCTGAGCTGAGCTGGACTTCATTTACATTTCAGGCTTTATGCTGTCATTTATGAAAGCATTATGAAAAAACATGAATCGTGTATAGAAAATAAAGTGCTTCATTTAACCTGAGACATAACAATGATGAAGGTTAATGCTAACGTCTTGCTTGATGGTAAAATCAACAGTTTATCTAATATAACATTCAGTACTACCTGTGAATCAGGTTCAGGGTTTTTTGTTTTCAGTCTTTAACCTGCCATACTGAAAGTGGAAGGTGTTAAGGTTTATATGCATATTTTTACATGCATGAAATATGTCTGAAGAGCATGAAGGCTTTGTGCTCCGCACTAATGGACTCCGTATGTGGAATGTGCAGAGGGAGCCCAGAGCTTATTTTGGTTCAGTGCGACACATTCAAAGTATGCTTCTCCAGCTCTTGCGGAGATGTCTGTTATTGAATTATTAAGAAATCAAGAATATATTAGAATGTAGTTCACAATCAAACGAGAACAGATCAGAATCAAACTGGCAGTCAATTTATGACAAATTTGCTCTCTATTTGTTATAGCGATTTTAATTCAAACATAGACTAGCTAGATTAGAAATAGATAAAACAGTAAGACCAGCAGAGCACAATACAGGAGGTATAAACAGTTTTGCTGCAGAGTCTCTTTAAGGGATAGTACCTTCCCTTAATTTACAAACTATGTCCTGCAGGATAGTATAATTGCTTTCTTATCCGTATAAATCTATCTCCAGAAGGTACTATAAAGTAAAAGTCCCAACCCAAATAGCAAACCCTTACTGTCTTACCTTGAGACCTACTTTGACATTAGGTTAAAGTTTGTTCAAAGCTCTTGCTTTGCACAGTGCACCTGAAAGCTAAAATGGGAAAGTCTTGTGGACTTAATGGGTACTTGTATGTGCTAGCCATTGTAAAAGGAGAAGACCAAGACCAACGTCCTGCTGAATTTAGCTCCAGTACACTTGTCTAGAAGATCTTGGTGACCCTGAAAATCATCATTCTGGTTCAGGTTTGTTCAATTAGGGTTGAGGTTAGCAGGTTAGAGGCCTTCCATGGTTTCTTACAAAAGCCACTCAGAAGAGAATGCAGCCTTTATTCAGTAGAACATAAAATAATAATAAATATATTGATTTTTTTTTTTAAAGGCAGCACGTTGGCTCAGTGGTTAGCACTGCTGCTTTACAGCAAAAAGGTTGCTGGTTCGAGTGTTTCTGTGTGGAGTTTGCATGTTCTCCATGTGTTCACATGTTCTCTACTGGTGCTCCAGTTTCCCCTACAGTCCAAAGGCATGCGCTATAGGTGAACTGGTTAACCTAAATAGGCTGTTTGTATGAGTGCATGTGTGTGAATGTGAGAGTGTATGGGTGTTTTCCAGTACTGGGTTGTGGCTGGATGGGCATCCACTGCGTAAAACATATGCTGAAATAGCTAGCGGTTCATTTTGCTGTGGTGACCCCTGATCAATAAAGGGAATAAGACAAAAAAAAATTTAATTTAAATTTTTTTTTTTTATAACCAAACCTTTCTGCATAACTCTAATTAGACAAAAATACCATAGTAGTCAATTTAAAATTAAGCAAAAATAAATATAAATAATTTAAAGTCTTCTGTGTAACAAAGAAATGCACACAAATTTGGAGCAAAAGGAGTGATAATAAATAATGACTAAAATCCCCAGTCATTGTCAAGCGGGTAAAATTAGAGGAAGACTCACTTCAACTTCCTTTCCCATTATTACACATCATAAACACAAAAAATACAAATGGGGAAAAAAAATGTACATTTTTTATTATTTGCATATTTTTCATAGTTTCACGCCAACATCAACGCAACCACTTAGAAATGCATACCAAAAACAAACGAAAAAACCCTGCAACTTCTTTTGCATTTCAAACTCTTTGTCACTAGCTTGTACATAAAGCTGCAGTGGAGGGTTTCAGACAGAGAGGAGCACTCCTGAGGCCACTGGAACATGCTCAGTCAATCACATTGGTCTCATGATCAGACATAAATATAGAAATAAAGACAAATAAACACTCAAATCTGTCCCCTTGGGCTCAATCATACTGAATAATATACAAAACCCGTATTCAAGAAAGTAGTGAAACAACTTGCAGATTCCCAATAGCTCACAGCGCTGCCTAATGGCATGCCATTTCAATATCAAGCACTCGTCCGTTTACAGCATACCATTACAATTAGACTGCATCTCTGATTGCCAAGAAAGTGAGGAAGAGAGATAATTCAACCCTTATGCAGGCATTAATCAAAACATTCAACTATTAGTAATTCATTCTGCATCAATCATAGTTTGGAGTTTCTCCTAGGCATATGAGTGATATGATATGAGCACATCTGTGGTGAAACATGCACCTGGATGAAGCTCACCATGTTCATAAAATGTGTGACGATAAAAAAAATTCCATTTGCAAAAACAATAACAACAACAACAACAAAATAAAGGCATGATATAAACAAGACCAAAAAGGTTGCATAAGGTTTTGAGAACACCTGGTTGAGATCAGTGAATATCTTTCCGTTTGAGTTAAAGGTAACAGTCAGTTTATGGCATGAGTTGATCTATGAAGTGCTTCTTCAGAAAAGTTCGTCTGAGGTCCTATGAGAAATAAAGGGATACCAAACGCTAGACAAGCAGCAACAGCAGCAGCATCTGGCAAATGTCCACTGGCCAACTGGCGTTTGGGCATTTGTCCCAGAGCAAAAGATAAATCCGGGTACACTTCAAGGCGTCTGGTAGAAAAGCTTCATTGGTTGACAAAGGCCTCAATCATGGGATGAGATGCCAGTACTCTACAGAGAGCTGGTTAAAGTCTGGAACTTCAGGGGGGAACAATCCAGAAACAAAAAAGCACAAATTTGAGAGAAACGTTCAATAAGCCCTGAGATATTCCTTTTTCCTCCATAGACGTGAAAGGCATAAGTACGAGGGTGGCCTCATTGGTAAGTGCTTCTGTGCAATACTGTCTTCAATTTTCAATCTGTACAAGGGTTCATTCCATTTTGAGAGCCACTGATATGGTCCAGACCTTCAGTATGCGGGAAGTGCTCGGTCCTGTATTAAAGTGCTTCCAGGAAGCTGAAGGCCATTGTTATCTTGGCGAGACCGGAGGGCTGGAGAACATCCCAGAGGTTCTTGGTGATTGGAGATTTAGGGATGGGGAAGGGGAGATCTTGCGAGGGCTAGTCAGATCACCGTTGTGGAGCTTCCAGAGAAGTTCTTCATTCTCCATAGACAGACGTTTGTTCACTTTGGACTCCTTCTGGAGAGATTCCTGCAAAACTGCCTGCTCTGTGGACAGTTGTCTGAAATGACACAAGGCAGTGCTCTGGTTATATATTGTTGCCTTAAAGTTAGAACGGTAAACAAGCAAATTGGGAGAGAGGGGAGCAGAATTGGGAAAGGTCCCCACGGCAGGATTGGAAGTTGGGTTGAACTTACTATATTTCACAGTGCAGTCTATACATATATTGGCCCTGACAGGACTCTGGCCAACTTAATTAGATTACTCAACATCATTACTGCACAAGATGAAAGGATAGAAGGTCTCTTTGATGCAATGAACATGCAACTTTTCTGTTGCCACAAAGAGCACAGACAGTAATCAGAATAATTAACATAATTAACCAAGCATAGCGAGAAGGCATTCTGCAGAATTTCTCTGATATTCAGGCTACATAATGCAAAACGCAGAGGCTTTGCTTTGGTACATGTCTAACTGACTGAATCCTACTGGGGAAAACACCCAAATGTTAAGACAGAGACACACCAAGCTGACAGTCGGCCATATGGCATTGACGGTCCTTCGGTCATCGTCTGTCAGGCTAGTTTGTTTGGTGTGTTTAAAACATTGCTTGTCATCAGGCTTACATCAGAGGTTGACTGATTCAGAAAGTAGAATCAGCAGTGGTCATTGGTGAAAGAGCACTCTGATTGGCTGTTCAGCTACAAATCAGAGTGCAAGAACAAAAAACTGAAGTAACGAAGCCAACAATGCAATTCAAGAACACAACACAAAGGAGACAGCTGTCGCATTTCTTAAATATTTACAAATTATATGGATTATCAGATTAACAAACATATTTATAAGTGCAAGTCCCGTTGAGGTGAGTGAGAAGCACTGTAAAAAAATAGTACGTCAATGCTGCTTTGTTTATGGTTTGTATATGTGCAGCACTACTTCTGTTTATTCTTTGTGGAACAATTATACAGACTATAGGTATACCTGCAGGTATAAAAAGATAGATCCTCTCACACATCTCGTTTCAGTCAGCTATTATCCATTTGGTTTGTGCACAGCATTTTTATCTAGACAGGACTAAAGCAGCTGAAATAAGACATCAACACCATCATTGTTGCTAGTTTTATAACATCCTGAGCTTTAGAATTTAAATAGCCAGATTAAACAAAATCAATTCAATAATGTCAACCAACTGAATAGATTGAGAATGTGAAGATGACACTTAAATATTTAATTCACCTCCAAATGAAAACTATTTAAATACACTTATTTGATTAAAAGCAAAGATTGTAATGTTATGTTAAGTTATGATTCTCATCCTTGTTGATTACTTTGTTTATTTTCTTGTAATGTTTTAACAAAGACTTTAGGGGAAAAAAAGCATTACTAAATAAGTGGATGGGCACTAATGAACATTCCACCACCACAGTAGAAAGTATTCATGCTTAAATATACCCATGCTGACTAGACTGAATTGGCAAAGATTGGAACGGTTAAGCAAAGAGAACCATTCAGCCTATATTGTAAATGCAGCTTATGTGAACAAATTAGAGTTGCATCAGCATGTTTAGTTTTCTGACTGAATTATATTTCTATCACAAGTCAATGAAGTTTATGTACTTTACCTAGACAAAGCAGCATGTCTGTCCATTCTGGCTTTGAGGTCTTCGTTTTCCTGTTGCAGCTTCTTAAGACATTCATCAAGCTTCACATTCCTCTCCATCTAGGAATAAATCAAAGTCTTAGCTAATGTCTTTCCTGCACGGATACTAAAAGTGCATGCAAACATGATCACCTCTTTACTGTTGATTTACAAAAAAGGAAAATGTCTTTATGCAAAACATGACCAAGCTCACCAGTTTATCGATCTGCATGAGTTTCTTGTCTTGTTCGTGGATCTGCTTGTTTTTGATATCCAGCACTACTTTAAGGCTTTCGAGCTCCTGCTCCAAATAAAGGGTGTGGGAGTCCTTTTTAAATAAAGAAACAAAAAAAAAAGAGAGATCAGGCACAGATATATACTGACAATCCTAATCTATACTGTATTCATAATGTTTTTAAAATATTAACATTTATGGGGGGTTTATGTAACAAACAATGGGTTTAGTTAAGACACTTTTGTACTCATGTTCAATTAAAATTAGTTAAATATTGTGTTTCATAAATACATAAAAAAGTATCTTTAAAGATTGAATCATTCCTCTATTTCTAAGCATATGATATATGCAGTGTAGTTATTATTACATGACTCTTTTAAACCCAGGTTATGCATTTCTAAAATATGTTAATTTTTTTTTTAATTTAGCCTTTTATTCCTCTGAAGTGAAAGTATCATAAGAATGTTTTTTGTTCAAGGTTTTTCTATTTGTTTTTCGCGTTTAAAAAACACCCCTTTTCCAAAACACCTAGGAACAATATATAATCAAATATCCATAGAGAAAATAAGATAAAAACATGACATGAAAATGACAAGTTCCTTTTTTTCCTCATGTTGCCAAGTTGTGTGCGTCCATTTTCATCACAAGAGTTAAAAAAGGTTGCCAGACTCTTTGATAGTGTGCCTTATTTTCTCTAACTTAAGATGAGACATCACTTCTCTTATCCAGAAGAGAACCAAAGACTGACATTTCAATTTATCTCATGTTGAGCATTTTCAGGGGCCACCCTGAACAACGCATGAAATGGTGATCGCTGTACTACCACCCCAAATGCCTCAGAAAATGTGTCAAAAATACTAATCCAGGACATTTCCAGAACATGTGCAGCAGAGTAGTAGGAGCCTGCCTACTGCCTATTCGCATATGGGATCTATGTCAGCATTGATCTTAGAGTGTCTGACTTTAGACCAGTGCAAACGATGAATAATTTAAATTGTATTACAGCATGTCTGAGGCATATGGATGATGAGAAAATTCCTTGTATTATTAGAGTTTTGTTCATCTAAATTGGTCTCACAATAAATTTTAAATAAGTCTAAGGATGCTAAATCATGTATGTTGAGCAATTCATTAATCTTGCTTATAGTCTGTTTTTTGAATGGTATCATAAAAAAAATCTTAAGTAAAATATTTTGATTTAATATATTATTATTATTATTATTATTATTATTATTATTATTATTATATTAATGTTAACACTTTGAAAACAGCTTTTTTTTCTTGTCACAATCAGTTCTTTGCATCATTATTTAATAAAAGTATTTATTTATTTATTCCTTGAAAAAAATAAAGAACTTTACTGATCCAAAGTGTGCAAACAACATGTAAACAAGCATAAAAATCGCATAAACTGCTATGTCATGTGTTAAAGTTTTTAAATAAAGCATCTTCAAACTGCACGAATGTAAGAGATAGCAAATGAGTTCACAGGACCAAAAACGCCCAGAGCTAAAAAAAAACAAAACAGAAATGAACTTTGCTTGTGGTGCATTTTGTCACTATTTATAGGGCAAGATCTGGGTTTGTTATCAAAAACTCTTAAATAAATTTTCAGAATGTTAAGAGTTCCAGAATCTCCTAATCCCTGATTGGTAAGACCAGTCTAATATTAACCCTCCATACTATCAGTGCCACCAAGTTGAGTGCGAGCTAAAAAGAGGTGTTAACATGCAGTACCTGTGTTTTCTCAGCAAGCTCCATCCTTCGCTTCACCTCAGCATTCAATTTTTCTTTGAGGCTGTCATTTTCTGTCATTAGATCCTGAATTTGATTCTGTTTGAGAGGAAGCACACCAATATGTGTTACATTTCAACAGAAAAACAGGGAACAGCAATATTGAGAGAAATATTGTGAGAAATTATTTTCTTACAGATAACGTTTCTTCTGATTCCTTTAGTGTTTCATTGAGGTTTTGCATTTCCTTTTCATGGGACTGTTTGAATCCTGCGAAAAAGGTCAGATAATATATCAGAGCACAAGTTATGATGTTATTGTCTTTCAACACTGAAGTAACAGGTGCAATATTTTCATGCACATGCATACACACATGCTTAAATGTCTAAGCAATATTCCAAAATAGCTATATTTACTATAAGCTTACCTTACCTAAGAAACTCTGACTTTTACAATTTACAAAAATCTTTTATGCCATTAGTAACAAAAACACATTAAAGAAACAGTGTCAGATTAAAATCACAACTGGGCACACATTTCTTCCCCAAACATTGCACAAAAAAACGAAATATAATTTTATATATTTACCTTTAAAAGACTCTTCAAACTGCTGCTTAAGGCCGTCCACCTCCTCTATATGGCTGAATTCCAGTTCTTTCTTCAAAGCCTCATGTTTTGACCGAATCTCTTCTAGCTAGACAAGCAAATTTAATGTTAATGTAAACGATTTTGCCAATATTTATATATTTCATGATCAAGGAAGCAGATGGCATGTCCAAACAACTGTAAGGTAAGAGCTAATATCCAAGATTCAAGAAAAAGTAATGAAATGACTGCTTATGGGGAAAGTTTGCTGAATTTCATGTTTAAGAACTAAAGACAAGCTAATACATTAGAAATTAAATATACTGTATCTTAAAAAGGCAACCATGAAACACATAAATATCTTATGAAGACTTTGTATGAAGTTAAACTATGCCAACAACTCAAAACACACCAGAAGAAAAAAAAAGGATCTTAATCATGCAAATGATTTGTTAAAACAAGATAGCAATGTGCTAGAACCTGCTAAAATACAAGCAATTCACTAAAGCAACAACCATGTAAAACTTGTTAAAACGTGCTACAATGTGCCAAAATGTTAACATGTAAAACATGTTAAAATGTCATGCTAACAATGCTAATATCGCTAGCAACAAGTCTAGCTGCTATTGTGCCTGTCTAACTGTCCATTTATACTTATCTGACAGACTGAAAAACCATTAAAATCCACTTCAAAACATGCTTATAAAGGAATTGTAAGCCGTTTATTATTAGAAGCTTTTTTTTTTTTTTTTTTAAATACAACTAATAGGTCAAAGCTTTTGGTTTTCTTGTATTTTAACATAAGCAAAGAAATGAATCCACTCACAAAGCTACATAACAACAATATATAAGCATTAGCCTAAAATGACAAGTGAAGATATCTGAAATAAAACATCTGTGTCAGGACAAACAACAAAAAAGCCATAATTTTCCTAACCTGCTGCTCCATCTGAGCTTTGCACTTGTCTGCCTCCTCCTGGTAGGCCTGATGGACTTTCTCCCATTCTGTAGAGTAAAAGGTCTTCAGTCTCTCCTCGAGGTCAGCAAGGTCCAAGCGGTGCTGCTCCTGGACCTTCTGCAGGACTCCATCAAAAGCAGAGCGCAGATCCTCCTTCTCTTGCTCCAGACGCTCACAGGAGTGACCCGAGCTTACTGAAAAAAAACATAACGTATTAGAAGTATACTGCTCACAACATAAAAGCAACACTAGTGTTGTTTAAGTGTTCCCTTTATTTTTGAGCAGTATATAATAATAAAAAAATAAAAAAATGTTTATTTTTTTCCCTAAATGTTGACAGGGATAAGAAATGGCTAGAATTACCTCTGTAATACCCTTTGCCTCTAATGTGTTTAAAATTTTAAACCTGACTTAAATCAAATGTTGATATTTTTGTGCTACAAATGTATACTTACTATAATAATTTCAGCATATTAAATGAAATACTTCATTTCCATATTTAAATATAATATTTCCATTAACTAGTAATACAAAAACATTATTAATAAACATTTTTTTTACCCTATTCACCTACAGTGTATTTCTTCATCAATCAACCCCATATAAGCAGCCTTTAAGATGATTGGCTTTTTTTGGCATAATGTCAACAGCTCTCTGGATTTTAAAAGAGCAGCTGTCTGCTACTGATCTAATGCACTAGTTTGTCATATGAAAATATAGATATGCTACATGTAGACAGCAGTGGAGCAAATGTTTAAAGGCCAACATGTCCATTTGTTGCCTTGACATGAGACTCTGCCAATGAGACGCGATGATTCATTACTCAAGAATTCTGCATTGAAACCCAGTTGTCTCTACAGTTCCTATATCTCCAGCACTTCTGTAAATAAAATGTCAACTGTTACACGAAACACGTCAAATTATAACCAAGGGAAAGTTCAAAGGAATGCATGCAGACAGACATTTCCTCACAGTCTCGGGAAAGTGTGCCACAGACACTGCCCCTTTGAACATTACACATCTTTGCCCAAATCTTCTAGTTGGGAACAGATGACACATTTAACTGCCCTGCACCAAGCACATTTGCACTGGGCTGCTGTGGTTTATACATAAAGTGACACAATGAATGCTGCAGCTGCTGCTGGCTTTGTAGTGTACAAGTGTGCTAGAAGTAATCCAGTGCATGAGGTTTGAGGGTATTTACTGGTGGGACACACATGAGGCTGGGATTGTCAATAGACAGACTTATAAATTACTTAATTATTGCACATGTCTAAAAGCTGTGGGCAGCTTCTAAACATTTATTCTTTTCTATCTGTATTTATTTAAATATCTGTATTTAATCATGCATCATACTCTATCTGTACCTGAATTTTAATATGGTCAATTAGTTAAATATGTATTCAGTTATGCATTTAATAACTCATTCTAGCTTCGTCCCTTAATTTTTCTGGGGTCACCAAAGCTTATCCAGCATATGTTTTTGCTGTTAGGCAACAGTGCCAACCACTGAAACACCGTGCCGCCGCATACAATGACAATATTTAACTTATTTTTTACTATATTTGCAGATATTTAAAAACCTAATTTTTTTTACATGCATCATTTGCATGCATGTCTTAGCCTCTTTGCATGCATGCCTTTAAATGTCAGTATATGTGAATATATCTGTTAATCATAGATCCATTTATTTAAATGTCCGTGTTCACACACTCACACGCGCACGCACGCACACATTTTTTTTTTGCAAAATTATATGTATTTATTTATGTATCAGAAATTATTGAAGGGCTGTTTAATTGTGCATTAAAATAGCAGCATTTTTCATTTATTGAACTGTCATTTATTTGCGGGTTATTAAAAAAAATACCATGCAGTTTTGTATTTATGCATGCAATTCATACACACAAAGGCTGAAAAACAACTTTTCCATCAGGATCCTAATTTTCTGTTTAGCATTTAAACATGACCTTTAATGGGGCATAAAGAACAAACATCAGTGTGATAAAACTGTTCTGATATCTAAAATATTATTGAAGTGATTAAAACATCAATTTTTAGGCCATTGGCAAATTTGTTTTTCTTAGAAAAAAAAAAAAGAATTCAACCGCTTCACTGCTTTAAACAGAAAAGCAAACAATTGTCCTCTAAATCCAACAAGTGGCCTGAGCATAAAATAATAATAAAAAAAAATAAATAAAAATAAATAAATAAAAAATGGAATAAAATAATATAAGGTAAAATAAAATAAATTAATTAAATTAAGTGTAAAATGAAATAAAATACAATAAAAAATAAATAAAATATTAAATATTAGATAAAGTCTAAAATAAAAATAAAATATTAAAAATTCCATTAAAAATAAATAAAATAAAATATAAAATACCAACCATGCAACCAACAAGCAAAGGTCATTAAGTCACTTTGTAGCACTTATTTGTCAATGACCAACAGCACCATAATAAAACAACCAAATAAAACTAACAAAGTTTACAAGAACATGCTTATATCCAACTTCAGTACAAAAACAGTTAAACTGCAGCAGATTTTCCAGCTCGTCTCATTTGTATACTGAAGCATCAGTGGGCGTTTCTGAACTTCATCTATTATCAAGGTCAAGAGCATGTCGGCAAATAAATTACTTTAATGAGTCACAACACAAGAACGGCTGTTGTTCTCCTGGGGAAAACTTGGGTCACATCCCTTACTGGCACTGCAATCTAATTATCCATATTCAGTGATGAACACCAGCTTTATTTTCCCCTTTAAAGGCAACCTTAAAATGAGGTTCAATCAGAACCGTTATAAAGCTGCTTTCGGGGGATAAATGAGAAGTAATGTATCTAATGACTTGGTCGTCCAAGCAACAGTTAACAGAGCTAAACTATGATCAGATCCACTCAGAGAAGAGCCAGAGCCGAAGTTCCCTAATGGCCTGATGCATTTCATAAATCTGCAGAGTAATTGTATTATAGGTCAGATTTATGATGCAGAGCAGGGCTGAGGGCCTAAAAATAATCCAAATAATGCAAACAAAAGGCAGACAGTTAGGAAGATGACTCTTTCTTTTTTTTAAACCACAGAAGAAAATAAAGGGACAAACAGATCAGCAAAAATGTATGTGCAACTGCATACAAATATACTTTTTTTCTGAAATTAGTAAAATATTAAGAAAGAAGCCTAACATGCATGTTTGTGCTTCTATTTTTGTAACTAATGTCTTATAAAAAAAGAGAAAATAAAAAAAAGGATATTTAAAGGGACCGTTCATCCCAAATTTTCTGTAAATATTCTCATGCTTTATGTATGTGACTTTACTTCAGTCATTAAAGATGATGTTCAGTTGAAACCATGATCCTTGGGGATTTATATAATAAAAGTCAATGGCTACTGGCGGTAGAGGGTCAAAATATAGACAAGTAATACAAAACTAATACCCACGCTACCCATAGCCATGATGATACAGTACATTAGGGCTACATTACATTACATTGATGGGTCTGTGCAAGAAAACGAATATTACTAAGACTTTTATGTTATTATGTAATTAACACTTCGAGGCCCTATCATACACCCGTCACAATAAGGTGCAAGACACGTGTGCTGCAATGTGTAGCTATTTTCAGACCAGACCATTTTTGTGTCACGATGTTTAAATAGCACATCCATTTCCACCACTCATGGGTGTTCTGGTCTAGAAAAGAGGTGTGATAAGGCGCAATGTTGGCATGTTGCTATTTTGAGAAGCTAAAATAGACCAGTGCAATAGACCAGCTGAAAACTAGCTTTTGTTTAGTGTTATTATTATTTATTACATGCATATTTATATTTGTTTTATTAAAAACAAGCTTAGATTTGTCCACCTGTCTGGTTTTGGTCTATATAGGGCATAAGACATGATGTGCGTTTGGATATACCTCTGTTTTTTGACCACACGTCATTCATTCATTCATTTGGTGGAAATTGGGACTGAATTTATAAATAGTTTTGAAACAAACTAAATTAAATATGTAGGCTAATGGATATCTTCAGTGGAGTGTGTACAAACGGTTTACAGACACACCCTTAATATGCTTTTGCGCCATGCGCTTTAGACTTTGTGGCTAGATTGTTAAAATAGAGCCCTAAAAGGTAATCTACCCTTTTATTTCTGTTGCTACATTCAGAAAAAGCCTCATTTTAATCAACAGTGTTATTTAACATCTGCATTCAATTTCCTGCACAAACTGATTGTTTCACTTTAAAAGACCTTAAAAAGTGCCACAGATATCAACTTGATTACACTGTATATGTTTTTAGTTTGACTCTTAAAGTGCTGGTACTGTAGCTTTGACATATATTATCAACCACAAAGGATTAGATTTAGCTGAAAAAATACAAATCTTTAACACTTTAATGAAAAGACATCTTTAATAGTCTAAAGGGCGAGTACATCCCCAGAAAATATTCATTTTTGGATGAACCATCCCTTCAAATGAAGTTTGAATTTATTAACAACAATCACGTGACATTGTTATTTTTAAGATAAAAATGTCGGTAACACTTTACAATAAGGTTCATTAGTTAATGTATTTACTAACTAGACACCAAATAATCATGAACAACACATGTACAACATTTATTAATCATAACTGAACATTTACTAATGCATTATTAAGATCCAAGTCCATGCTTGTTAACATTAGTTTAATGCACAATGATTTAACATAAACTAACAATGAACTACTGTATTTTCATTAACTAACATGAACAAATACAGTAGTAGATGGAGTGTTCATTGTTTGTTCATATTAGTAAATGCATTAATTACCATTAACTAATGAACCTTATTGTAAAGTGTGACCAAGATGTCTAGACTAAAATCATCCCTAAATCAACATGCATTACCCTTCTGCACTGAGAAATTAATAAGTCACATGGCAAATAGCGAGCTAAATGGATTGGACACAGTTCTATCAGGTTTTGTGTGAAGACAGCACTCGTTTCATTAGACGAGAGCAGTTGTCCTGTGTTAAAAGACACTTTTGTTTTATATGGGAATTCTGGGTGTGCGCCAAAAAACATCACGCTGCAGTATGCGCAATGACATCACTCGCTCCATAGCAGGGTGAAAGCTGAAACTAACAGCTATCAGTGGGTAAATTTTGCTAATATTTACTGCAATATTGTGGGTCCCAAAAGTGGTCTGAGAAATTCTTTATAGGGTCTTAAACATGGTCAGGAATGTGCTAATACGCTTAAGCGGTGATTATAATAGTAAAGAAAGATCATGTGCAGGACATAAAGGTTTATAACGTGAGAAAACTGATCTTTTTTTAAATCATTTACTTCAAATAAATTAAAGTGATAGCTCACCCAAATGTGAAAATTTACTTCATATTTACTCTGTGGTTCCAGATGTTTATGAACTTCTCCCCCCCCAATGAACACAAAAGAAGTAACACTGGAACTACATAAACTGGGACTATATAAACTGGAAGCCATAGACACCATAGCAGAGGCAAAATACTGTGGAAGTGTATGACATCCAACATTCTTCAAAATATCTTCTTTAGTGTTTATCAGAAAAAAAAAAAACGGGGTTTGGAAACCCTTGAGGAATTGTAATTTTCACTTTTTAGATGAACTTTCAATTTATTCCTGATAAAAGCTGAAGGTAATATTATATATGATCAGTCAACAATAAAGAAAAAGCCTCATATCACTGTCCTGCACATGCTCAGTTACCAAGTGGTATTACGAGCTGTGAAATCAATGTAGTATAGATCTCATGAGAGACGCCGGTTAAATTAAATTCTCTATGTTACTTTGCTCAGAAGTGAGGGACATCAGCCTTGTCTGACCTTGTTGACAGGCATGAGTATGACCTTCACAATTCAGGAGTTGAGCTTGTGTTTTTGAGGTGTGTCTCATAAATGAGTATTATTACTGTATGGGAGAAGAGAGACTTTTCAACATGAACAATAAAACAGACTACCTTAGTGACCTAAAAAGGATGGACTGAAATGCAAATATACTGAAGTAGTAGGCATTAAATGATAGACTTCTGTTCAAAACTTATGTAAACTAAACATTTTAGACAATGGAATCTGACTTAATTTCACAAAGATTTAATAGTTTTGTCCCATCAAAAAGTACAAAAGCAAAGAAAACGTAATTCATTCATTGTTTACAACAACATGGATAATAAATATTATATTTCTTGCGGTTTTTGAAAGACTGAAAATAATCAATGTAAACTTAAAAGTATTATAAATATTTTGTTTAGCATGTGACAATCTGAAAACTGTGAACATGTACATGTGTAGTTTAAAGATTTAATTTAATGCCAAATTTAATTCTGGGGTCAGGCTAATATTTTAGGACAGTTGTCGGACTCACATAGTACAAGTTAACTATTGTGTCATTTTGTGACATAAAATGCATTTTTTGGAATTGAAATGCAAAATTTCAAAGCAAAAAACTATTTATTAATTTTAATACATTTAAAAATGATAATAATTTGGAATAGACAAATCATAAATTCTAATAAAATTAAAAAAAATCTGAATATATTATCACATAATAATATATAGTATAATTTTAATCATGTTAAAAAAACAAACATTGAAGCTGCAATCTGAATACCCCACTCTTACTCCACATGATCCTTCTGAATTTGTGGGAATGAGAAACTTTTAAAAAAACAATATGTACATTTTTATGTCTTTGCTGTTACTTTCAAATAAACACACCCTTTCTGAATCAAATATAAAAAAAGAAAAAAAAAAGAAAAGAGAAAAGTCTAGAGTGTGCATAGCTAAAACAAGACTTTATATTTAGCTTAGTTTTGGTCACTTCATAAACCAATATTTGTATGTGGGTTTATGTTACTAATACTACTCCCTGCACTTTATTTCTACATTTCTCTCCATCGATAAATGAATGACAGAAATACTCTGCTAATAAGTTTGGACTCATTATCCCATGCTCGCGTGAGAGGTTGTGGCAGTTTATTCTGCATGTTACAACAACAAGTGGCACACCTACTGCTCATCCTATTGTTTACCACGTGTCACCCGCAATCCAAATATTACATTAATTATAAACCATGACATTCTGGCAGCTCTCTCCCTTCTACCGGCAGACAGAGAAAGCGAAGCAGTCTACAACCACACACACACACACACACATACACACACACACGCTTACCCAGCTCCTCACGCAAGGTGACCAGCTCCTGAGACAGATCCCGTCGCTGCTTCATCACCTCGTCATGCTGCAGAAAACACAGAATCACATTATTCAGAAAGTATATTAGCATAAAACCATGTGCAATCTAATAAACAACAACTCCTTTTGCAGACAAACTTTCTAATAACTTAACCTTTCAGCATCCGTTTTCTTTTGAATTATATTTTGCCTATATTCATATAAATAGCATTAATGTGTAGTTTTTTTTTTTTTGTCAATTAAGATGTATTTCAACATTTAATTTCACAAATGTATTCTACAGCAGGCACAGGAGAGAGATCTTCCAAGGACTTTCAGGACAAAATTGCCCCCATGAAAACCTATTAAAACTGCAATATTTTATCTCAGTGACATTTCAGTGAAATTTCAGACACACTTTTCTGCAAAAAGGGTTCTACTTTGTTGGCAAGGCTTTAAATGTTTTTAATTGTTATAATAATACATTTAAAAAAGCTATGACTTAAGACAATTGAAAACCTATTTTCTGCTATTAAAAACTGCAGGTCAAATCAATTAAATAGTGTATAAATAAACAAAGAAACAAATAAATAAAACAACTTAGTAAATAAATAAATGAATTGTGTGTATTTTCTATGTATAAACGTGTTTAGTTTTTAAAATTATACTGCAGTTCAAACATTTTTAGATAATGATCATTGACTTTTCAAATAATAAATCAATAATACTACAAATAATGATAATAATAATAAATAAAACAATAATACTAAATCACTAACAACAACAACAACAACATTAATAACAAACAACAAAAACAAAAACAATAATAATAATAAAATAACACTAATCAATAATAATAATAATAATAATAATAAACACAATAACACTAATAATAATAATAATAATAATAAAATATCACTAATCAATATTAATAACAATAATAATAATACATTTACTTTTAGTCATTTAGCAGACGCTTTTATCCAAAGCGACTTACAAATAATACAATAACACTAATCAATATAAATAATAACAACAACACAAAAAAAAATGTATTATTATTTATTTAGAGTTTGCATGTTCTCCCCAGGTTTGCATGGGTTTCCACTGGGTGCTCAGATGTCCCCCAAGTCCAAAGACATGAGGTATAGGTGAATTAAATAAGCTAAATTGGTCGTAATGTGTGTGTGTGTGTGTGTGAGAATGAGTGTGTATGGATGTTTCCCTGTGATGGGTTGCAGTTGAAAGGGCATCCGCTGCGTAAAACCATATGCTGGATAAGTTGGCGGTTCATTCCGCTGTGGCCACCCCAGATTAATAAAAAGGACTAAGCCGAAAAAAAAAGAATGAATGAATTTATTAATAATAATAAATAAAATAATAATAATAATAATAATAATAATATTAATAATAATAAATAAAATAATAATAAATAAGTTTAAACTAAAATAAATGGAAACATTTTTTTCCATGAAAAAATAAAAGCATTATATAACTAAACTGAAATTTGAAGGAACTTCAAATGAAGGAATTTTTGGTAGTTATCAGGTCAAGAAAACTAAATATTATACATTTATGATCATTTCTGACACTGACATGTTTGTCCAGCATGTTTTCATGTGTAACTTCTCTTAAATTGACTCACAAGGGTTAAAAATAACATTGTCCAACAGTCAAGTGACAACACAGCTGTGAAACTAAAACACTACAATGACAGCTCTCAATGCGTGATGTAAAAAAAAAAAAACATCAACATTAAAATGTGGAGCAACAAAACCACCAGCACCTCTTTCTTTTTAAAGTCACCCAGCATCACAGCAGCTGCAGTGCTGTCAGCCTCCTCAAACCAACACAAAGACACTTAAAAACCCACGGTCCTGATCTGCCCTTTCCCCCCAAAAAATCAATACATGGCTGTACTCACTAAAATAACCACATTTATATCAATCACACTCCTCATGATCACATCAACACAACAGCATCTCACTGAAATAACATACTTTCCACTACCATCCCATTACGAATCTATTCATCCTTTGTCCTGCAGTGAGAATGATATATCTTTACCCTGTGTCCAGCGCAGGCAGAATTAAGGCACACTTTGCTGCCAGAGCAGCCCATGATTGCGTGTCTGTGACTTCAGTCCAGATGCATGAAGCCCTGCACCTCCAGCTCCTCTCTCACTGCAGTCTCTCTCTACATCTGACAGACTGTAGTGGAATAAGATCATTGGCTTCGAGCTCACCCAACCACTGACCTTGTATGTGGTGAAAGGATACCGTAAAGTGTCTAATAGAAGGGCAAAGGAGGGAGGAGGTGTACTGTGTTTTGCGAGGTTGATGGAGAAAGGCTGTACTTTAGGACACCCGGAGCAAGAAAAGAGTAAAGAGAAACAGAGTGAAACATGACATTTGTGACAGTTGGATGATTAAATGGTTGTTTATGAAATGGTGTGTGTTACAGTAAGAGGTGACCTTCACACAGGACAGGGGCAGATGGCTTTAGTTTCAGCCATAGCTTAGAATTTGATAACAATACACATTTGTATTTCTTATTAACTGTTATTGACTGATAGAGTTTAAGTCAAATTTGTCTATTTTAATTTGACACTATTGAAAACAAATATCTCAAATGAAATTAGGTTTCAATTATAATCCTTTTATTTCATGACTTTATTAATAGCATTATCTGAATTAAGTAGAACACAATGGATTAATGTTTTATAACAACAACAACAACAACAACAACATAATATTAACAATAATAATAATAATAATAATAATAATGACAACAATAATAATTTATTATATTTTATTATTATTATTATTATTATGAATAATAATAATAATAATAATAATAATAATAATAATAATAATAAAATAATAATGATTTCTTATATAACTATAATATAATAATAATTTAACAACAACAACAACAACAAGAATAAAAGTGTTGTTATAATAATAATAATAATAATATAAATAATGATTATTGTTATATTGTTTTATAATATATTATAATAAATTAATTATTTTAAAATAAGTTTAATATTATATTATAATAGATTATTATTATTATTATGGAAAAAGTAGAAAAATATAATAAAAAAGTAAAAACTACAGCATAAACCATTTTATACACAATATCGTTGACATAATATAAATGATTTGCCTTGCATATTTCAGAAAAAACAATATATTACTGTAATAAACTATATATAAAATAATAAAAGAAAAATGTACCTATTTGCACCAAGTAGTAGTTGTGATAATAATAATATTAATAATACTACTAATAAATCATTTTGCAGTAATCATGCTTTTATTATTAACAATGTGTATGCAAGTGTTGTTTTGCTTAATTATACATTCCACTTGTATTTTATATTATTTATTTAAAGAAAGCAATATTAACAATCATAACTACTGCTGTAGAAAAAGACAAATATCACATTTCGTGACTATATATCAGAAGAATCATAAAAAATTAGAAATAAATTATTATTATTATTATTTTTATTATTATTATGGAAAAAGCAAAAAAAGTAATAATAAAAGTAATAGAAAATTACTGCATAAACCATTTAATATACATTTAACATAAAATAAAGTATTTATTTTGCCTATTTCAGAAAAACATTCTTACTATAATAAACTATATAAAATAATGGAAAAATGTTGATATTTTTGCATTCATGCAGAAGAGATCACGGCTTTGTACTAAAAGTAGTTGTAGTAGTAGTAGTAGTAGTAGTAGTAGTAGTAGTAATAATAATAATAATAATAATAGCATAATGAATGCAAAATGATTAATAACCATGTGCGCGCAAAAGAGTTTTCTTTTGCATAAGTGTATTTTATTTTTATTTTTTACCATTTATTTAAATAAAGCAATTTTAACAATCATAAATACTGCTGTATAAAAAGAAAAAATATATTACTTTGTAACTGTATATCAGAGGAATCATAAAAAAATTAAAAACCTCAATTTCTCACTATCAACTACATGAATTAATGATGCAGCTTCAGGGGGGAAAAGCATGTGTGGCCTCTTCTAGTGAAATTATGGCAGTGTGCACAGTGTGCTGACAGCTCATTGCAAACAAAAGGAGATGAAGCAGCCTCCAGCAGCTCTCTAGGTATCCCAGCATGTTCCTGTTCGGACCATGTCGAGACAGCAGCTGGTGCTCTCACACAGACACAGAGAAGCCTAGGATCCTCTCATAAAATTAATGAAGGCATTGAAAAATTCCTATAAGGGACACTGTAATCCCACAACACGCTCTCGATCTACAAATGAGCAGTCATGACATTTAGCATTTAGACTCATACATACACCCACAATCAATATACAATTCTTCCATCTATTCATTTAGTAGATGCTTTTATACAAATATACACAAAAATCACAATTTTCTGCTGTATGCAATGAAGAATCATTTATTATATTATATAATGTTTATTATATTTGTTACATAGATTATTAGAGTTACTACATTAAGATTTTTCCACATTATTACTATATTATTACTATAATAGAAAAGCTGTAGTTTAAAACCCCTCAACCATGATTCACAATTGAATGTTTAATAATATACAAAAAAACAAAGAAAATATGGATTTTCATGTGAATAAAAAAAACGTATAAAAAATTTAAAATCTAAATTATATATTTAAATAATTTACGTGGGTTTCCTCTGGGTGCTCCGGCTTCCCCCACGAGTCCAAAGAAATGCGGTATAGGTGAATTGGGTAAGGTAAAATTGTCTATAATGTATTTGTGTGAATGAGGATATATGGATGTTTCCCAGTGATGGGTTGCAGCTGGAAAGGCATCTGCTGCGTAAAAACTTATGCTGGATAAATTGGTGGTTAATTTGGCTGTGGCAACCCTGGATTAATAAAGAACCCCCCCCCCAAAAAAAAAAAAAAATGAATAGATATTTAAATAATCTGAATAACCTATTATATTTGAAGTATAATTACATTTAAATAAAGCATGAAGAGAGTTTTGATTTTTAGCTCTTTAAAAATATACACCCCATTTATATAGACTGATTCTGTAAGAGCCACAGCTTAATTATGGTAGTGCCTTTTAGTTTAAAGTTGGTCCTGGTCCAAATTCTGCAGAAGCAGCCAACATGCACTTCAGAGAAAAGCTGGTCAGCTCAGACAAACTGCACTTCTGCTTTCCTTCTGCACAGCGTTCAGACTGTTGTCCTTTTCTCACCATTAACATTACACATGTACTGCCAACCGGCCTTCACATCATGGTTTTATCAAGGACCATTCTAAAATTAGCAAGCTTGTATCAGTCCAAGTCAAGTATGGCAGGAGAGATTATATGTAACATGAGTTTCAGCAGATCAGTATGAGGAGTTAAAAGGGAATAGCAAAAAAACAAAAGTAATACTACTATATATACAGTAGCTATGCATTTAAGAAAAACATTGTTGTTATTAACATATTGCTTTCTGTTTTAATTTAAATAAATATATTTCTGCATAAAGTAAAAAGGTGCCAAGATTTCAGACATATTTAAAACACAATTTGGTGTTTTTAACTACAACTCATTATTTGGGGGACTAATCATGTTTAAAAAAAAAAAAAAAAAAAAAAAAAAAAGATGAAATTGTTACTCCAATCAGTTGCCATTATCTGGAAAAAAACAATACAACAACTGAGGTCAAGTTGATTGACATATTTATGCAAGTACACACACAAAAAAACTTTTGCTGCTTGTTCAAACTAGTTATTTAAGTTGTTTGATTAATAATTTGTTTTACATTCAATCTACTGAAATTTGTAATATTTTTCGTTTTCTGTTGAGACAAGGAGAAGGAATTGTGTAGAACCCAGCATTTTTTTTTTTACAGTGTATGCATGCATGTTTATTCATTGTAATCTCAACGCACTACTGTCCTGTTGTGGTTCTGTGACAATTAAATTCAAGGTCTAAAACAAAAAAAGTTGTTTTTTTTTTTGGATTTTTGAGGTAATTGTGTGTGCCATTAATTATAAAAATGCAAATATATTGATGGCTCATTATCCGATTGTCAGAGGTCATTTCGGAGTCTCTTTACATCTATATCAGGAAATAGTAAACAATAAATGACGACATGAACGACACACAAGATAAATGGTGCATGCTTCATTTCACAATGTATAGTGTACAAATAAATTGCATAAAGCATAAAAAACATTAATAAAACATTTAATCTATTGACAGCCCAATTAAAACTAAATAAACAGTTCGGGACTTGGATTATAAAATATTATGGTATATTTTTAAAATAGTACCAGAATAATATACAATTATTATTAACGATGAAGACAGGAAACGATAAGGACAACAAAAAATAACAAAATAGTAACTAAAAACGCAATGAAAGCTCAACTTTCTAAAGTTTTATATATATAGATTAGATTTGAAAATCATTGTACTGTATATGTGGCACTAAAGTAATTCATAAGCAAAGTGCCATCAAAGAAAATGAATAAAAAACACAGCATGAGGGAGTAGAATAATAATACACAGCCAACCTTCAAACACACATCAGAACTACAAACCAATGAAATCTGTGCTGGGTGCTCATTTAGATATCCAACCCTAACCCAAGTAATCCAACCCTAACTTGTCAACTGATGGGACATCTTCCTTATTTAATATTAATGTCTGCTGCATAGCACAATGATAGTAAATAAATAAATAAATAATAATAAGCTCCTCACCTCAGCATAGAGATGCTTTATGACCACAGCGACAGCCTCGAACCGCCGGTTGTTGGATAGAAGTGTGTTCTCCAGTTGTCGGATGGTCTGGTTCTTCTTCTCACACTGAGCCTTGTAATACTCCACATTTCTGGATTTGCTCTCTGGTGGCACCAGATCTGGTTGCCCATTCGTAGGCGGCTGTGGATTTTTGGAGCTCGTCCTCGACTTGTTCTTGTCAACTGTAAGAGAGCAAGCATTTAGTACTGTGACAACATTCAGCATTATTTTCCTTCAAGGTGCTCCTCCTTCATAAGACCTTAGACCCGACTGTGTCGCTTGTTCATTTGGAATCCAAACATAAGAAAGTACCAAATGCAAGCCTGAATGAGACAACCGTTCACCCCATCACCAAATATTATCTTCCCCTCTGTGGATCCAGCCATCAGAGGCCTCTTATTTTAGCAGGGCTATGCCACTGTGGTTTTCATTTACATCATCTCATAAATATAACACCAGGACATAATCAGGACACAAATCCCTCTAACAAAGTGGGCCTCAATGCTACAGGAAGGGCACCTACTGTAAAGCTTGCCACTGACTTAGAATTGTTTCTATATAAAGCTGTAAAGTGGTACATACAGTACAAGTTTTATATGAAGATTTTTTTTTCCCAATGCCAACACCTAGAGTCTGTGTTGTTAATCCCATTTGTCCCAGCAGAGTTATTACATAACAGTTCAGTGTGAGCAGCCTTTGACATTGCTGAAATGCCAGCTTTAATAAGGCAGGGCTGAGACACAAACCCAGCGAGGCCTTTCTCCTCTAATGTCACTTCAACAACTCATTCACAGCTAGTTTACATCAGCAAAGTCATTTCTAAACTGTCAAAAACAACAACAACAACAACAACAACAACAGATACATTCATCATTCTTTTCTACTTTTATATAATTTTAGCTTTAGTGTACTTAACATATAGTAAAGTAGAAAACACTGCTGTATAATCAATTATTTAAAACAAGTTATATATGCAAGGTATGATGAACAGAGACTACTGTGTTTTAATATTATGGTGCCATTTTAAGATTAATGCTAAATTGCTTACATTTTCTTCCAGTAGTGTTGGTAGTTGCAAACATGATTGCCATGTGAAAAGTTACAGTAAAAAAATGCTGGGTTCCACACAACTGATTTGATGGATAAAAGCAAAAGTAAATAGGGGAAATAAAAACACATCAATTACAAAATACGAAAAACTTTTTTTTTTTACAATGTGGGTTAAAAAGCAGGAAAAAATTCCATTGAAATAAAAAGAAATATTTCAGTTTTTACTGTTAAAGTCTCTTAACTAAAATGAACTGAGCAAAATGATATGAAACGATACCGTCAAGAGTCCATCTGGAGCTACTTTAGCTGTGCATTTTACTGAAGAATAACAGAATGTCTATAATTAATAGAGATAAAAATACAAACTCACAATTTAAAGTATTTTATATAGTGTTTTAATAATTAAATATACACAGTTGAAGTCAGAATTATTATCTTTTTTTTTTATATTTCCCAAATGATGCTCAACAGAGCAGAGAAATTTTCACAGCATGTCTGATAGCATTTTTTCTTCTGGAGAAAGACTTATTTGTTGTAATTCAGCTAGAATAAAAGCAGCTTTTAAAAAACATTTTAGGCTCAAAATTATTAGCCCTGTTAAGCTATATATATATATATATATATATATATATATATATATATATATATATATATATATATATATATATATATATATACACATACACATATACACATACAGTTGAAGTCAGAATTATTAGCCCCCCTGAATTATTTGCGCCCCTGTTTATTTTTTTCCCCAGTTTCTGTTTAATGGAGGGAAGATTGTTTCAGCACATTACTAAGCATAATAGCTTTAAAAACCTATTTCTAATTACAGATTTATTTAATCTTTGCCATGATGACAGCAAATAATATTTTACTTGATATTTTTCAAGACACTTCTATACAGCTTAAAGTGACATTTAAAGGCTTAACTAGGTTTATAAGGTGAACTAGGCAGGTTAGGGTAATTAGGCTAGTTATTCTTTAACGATGGTTTGTTCTGTAGACTATGAAAAAAAATTGCCTTAAAGGGGCTAATAATTTTGTCCCAAAAATAGTTAAAAAAAATTCAAAACTGCTTTTATACTAGCAGAAATAAAACAAATGAGACTTTTTCTAGAAGAAAAAATATTTTCAGACAGGCTGTGAAAATGTCCTTGCTCTGTCAAACGTCATTTGGGAAATATTTGAAAAAGAAAAAAAAAAGGGGGCTAATAATTCTGAATTCAACTGTGTATGTATGTATATATATATATATGTGTGTATGTATATAATATATATATAATGAAATTATGAGTTGGGAAATGAGTTGTTTGAAAAAAAATCTTCTCTCCGTTAAACAAAAATTGAGGAAAGTTTTTTTTTTTTTCAATACAAAAGACAAACCTAATGACCATATATATATATATATTTACACAATAGGCCTGTTAGAGACTGCTTCAAAGTCACAAAATGTGCATTGTTTTACACTAGAAACAGGCCAGATGGACCCATTGAGAAACAACTAAGCAAGAAGGGTGGAAACATTGTTCCACTCATTTGGATGTCTGCCACCTCAGAAACATGATCCAAAAGTCAATAAAAAATTTCCAATAGACATGGTCTACAACACCAACATTTACTGCTGAAACAGACCTTTAAAATAGACTGAGAGAGCATTCAATATATATGAACGTTCTTTTCATCCCGCATCCTGTTACGCCTTCAAGACAAAGTTGCAAACAGCTCCAGGTCTGTTAGTTCACTGTACCCACCCATAAAATAAACAGACCCATTTAGCTTATCTTAAGCTTATGGATTAAAGAAACTGGAAACATTACAGTCCTGATGATAAGCTAGCCTGTGATTTTATACATTTTTATATAATGCTCAAATCACTGATAAACTGAATTTAAAGTTATTTAAATTGAATTATTTTAAAAATTAGCAGTGTATTTTTAAAAAGGCAAAAAATTGAGGTCAGCGTCTCAGCAGCTTGGTGCGGCACATCAGAAATTCTTTAGCCAACACAAATGCAGTATAATTCAAACCATAAGGTGTCAGTGCTAGGTAAACATTTGAGTGACTCCCTCTGCTGGTCAAGTGTGCTGAACAACAGACTGCAGGAGCATTGAAAGCTAAATTTAAGTTAAACAATGTCAGTTATGCTATTGGAAAAAAAGGAGCCTACAGTCTTGCATATTTTCAAGTTAAAGGTACTAATTTTAGGTTAGGCAATGCACACAGTTGGTTACAATAATTAGCTTCAGTCTTACAGATCGCATGATTAAAGCAATAATTCACTTAAAATTATCATCATTTACAATTAACCAAAGCGCTGTAAACTTTTATAAAAAGTTCATTTATTTTTTCACAAAACAATATATTTTGAAGAAAGCTGAAAACCTGTAACCTTTCAATTCCCGATAGGAAACACTGATGACTACACAGATGATTACAAAACGTGACTATGTTTAAAACCTTTTACAAAAATTTCTTTTGTCTCAGAAATGCAACAGATATTTTGAAGAACGCTAAAAAATACTAGCTATTGACATACACGGTAGAAAAAATTATTCTTTGGAACCCACTGGCTAATTTTAAATGGAAGAAAAAAACCCAACCGTGTTTAAAATCAGTGGATCAGGAGTAAATTTGAAATATTTTTAGGTAAACTACTGCATCCTTCTAAGAGAATTCTCTTATTGTTGTAGTTCAAAAGCCGCCACTGGAGGTCTCTGTGGTTAACAGAGCTCTTCAAATGCAGAAGCTTGCATCATAAAGGCTGAATCCAGATACTATTAGAAGTTTAACTTTATATTTTTAATCCTAAATGTTTTCCTATCCCTGGTAAATTAGCTCTGTTTAAACAATTAAAAAACACAAGTGAAATAATTTGTAAGATTTTAGCATACATTTTTAAATAAAACAGCTATTTAAGAACACATTGGGGCCCCAATTGTCCAAACAGAGAGATCTAAGATATTTATTAAAACAATCCAATATGAATGCAAATGATGAAGCCTTTTTTCATGGTTAACAAAAATGACATTTCCCACCTAGTAATTACAGTAGAGTTAATTAACCTTTATCTCATCTTAATTAAGGTTATCTTTATGATCCAGGGAACATATTTGAATCTCCACAACAGCATCTGTTGAAATCCAAGCATCTCTTAAAAACAAAACACCTAAAAGATAATATGAACTCATAAAATACTAGGCTGATGATTGAGGTGAAAAAATACATTGGAAATACATTTAAAGTGTTTTATACATTTAACTTGCTTATATCAATTACACTGATTAAGTAATATCACTAATGTGAAAAGATTTAGTGACCTAGGCTAGTATATCCCATCAAATGTAACACACAAAACAGATTTAGACATCAATCAGGTTATCATAAAAGCTATCATTATAACTGTTGTATTTATATTTAGTGATATTTCAACGGGATGAAACTTTATCCAAACACTTATTTAGCTCAAATGCAGTCCTCTAATGTTACACACATGAAATAAATAGACATTCCATTACTTGATATAGTCCTAATTTGTCCAGTAACTTTAAAAAGGATTAGTTCACCAACAGCATCTCCTCTATGCAAATTTAACTAGACATTACATTCAATCTAACATCTAAAGCCAAAACCAATCAGAGATGATAAAAACATCAAAATTAGGTAAAATCAAAACTCACCTATGAAATGAATCAATTAAGTATGGACTTACTTAATCTACCAACTTGGTAGGTAACCACCAGAACCCAAACTGCGGCACAGATATACATGTTATTTACATGAAGACCCCAGGCTCTATTTGTGGCTAGCAAGAAGATGCCTACAGACCGTTGCACAAATATCAAATACTCTTTGGCACAGAGAGAAAAACAGTCCAAAGATAGAATCATCAGCACAGGGTTGAAGACAGCACCTTAAGAGCTACTTTGAAACGTCTGTACAGAATGAAGGAGAGCAGAAACAAGGTTTACTGAGCTGCAGACCTGCCAGAAACCCCACAGCAAGCTTGCATCCTGAGAGCAGCTGGAGGTTTCTCAGCAATCCCTTTGCCGTCAGCCTTACATGGATGTTGGACAGAGACAATTTGGAGATGAAAAACATCTTGACGAAAAGATAGAACTCTACTCAAACAAAGCAAAAACACACAGAGATGATGCTACAGCAAAAACACTTGCCAAACAAATGGCAAAGACTGTGAGAAATGAAGGAGAAAGGAAGAGATCCGTTGTCCCCTGGCCATACTTAAGCAAGAAAAAAATTCTCTGAAGCAGCATGGAATAAAAGAAGCATTAATCCACCAGTTTTGAGCTCTTATTCAGTGACACTCAGCATCTCTGGCTCTGCGCTGGGTGTTAAGGAGGTGTAGGATGCTGGAAGGTAGGAGAGAGTGAAGGGAGGGCACTGGGAGGAGTAAACAGGAGAGTGGGTTTGGTGGGAGGGAACACTCCTTTTTCTAGCTTTCTCTCCCGCCATTTTTAACACTCCCCCACGTGAAAGAAGTGAAACTAACAGCATATAGCAAAATGTTTGACAAGGATTACACCCTGAGCAGGTCTAGTAAAGTCACTTATATGGAAGCTTGTTTAGACAGTTAAGTAAAAAAAATATATACTGTACACTACCAGTCAAAAATTTGGGGTTAGTTTTTTTTTATATTCTCTGTTCATCAAGGTGGCATTTATTAAAATGTATATATTTTTTAAACTGTTAAATATTTCTTAATTTTAATTAACTGCTTTCTTATTGTATGTAGTTTCAAATTAAATTATTACTCCAGCCATTATTACTTTTATTACTATTATTATGATGATGATGATGATGATGATAATAATAATAATAATAATAATAATAATAATAATAATAAATATAATAAATATAATAAATATAATAAATATAATAATAATAATAATAATAATAATAATAATAATAATAATAATAATAATAATAATAAATATTAGAGGATAAATTCATCATTAAAATCACTGGATTAAATGATTAAATTAAATTCTGAACTACTTTTTCATTTTATAGTGCAATAACATTTCAGTATTTTTACTGTATTTTTCAGAATTTTACTGTATTCAAGGCAAAGGATGAGATTTCTTTGGGGTTACAAACAGGCCAGCGCCAATAGCAAACAACCACAGAAACGGTCTAACACAAGCATGTAATGCCAGCAAGAGCTCAAAAAAACAAAATGTGCAACCCACAGTAGACATAATTTCAGGTTTGAAGGGGTTGCTGACGGCAGCAGACAATGCACGTTTTCAGTTCAGGCTGCAGTCCAAATACTAGAGGAGGAAGGAGCCATAAAAATCAGTTTTAAGAAATACCAAACCTTCTCTTCAATATGTGATTCCACATTCAAATACAGCTGGGTCAAAAAGACTGACGAAAAAAAACAGAAACAAAAAAATTTGTCTCATTCTTTATAGTTTAGAAATTATGTTACCAACATCTCAGTGAAAAGGCACTGTCAAAACTTGAATGGAGCTATATGTAAAATTCATGATTACTTATCGTTAGCAAATCATATTTATAACTCAGGCTCGCATTTGTGCACAAATAACATACAAGATTCTAAACATTATTTAATGCCGCAACTCAAATCCACTCTTCGATACACTGCTATATACAGAAAACGAACATCCAAACATCATTCATGCTGCTAAGAGATGAACTTAGATGAAAACTAAAACATGTGCCGTTTTCTTTCTTCTCAGTAATAAAACAAATAATAAGACAAATGGAGAGAACACAGCAGTAGAAAAAAAAGCATCTGATCATAATGACATGGATGTCTGCACAAGAGGTGAAACAAATTACACAGATTATAGAGCCTATTATGTTTTCGTAAATTTCACACCCCTTGCAAACACCGAGATCTCAGCATAAAAACGAAAAAATAAAAAATAAAAAATAAATAAATGAAGAAATAATTTATTCTGGCATACATCCCTTTATGTTGACAATAAATACAAGGCCTTCAAGGCAGTGTTTTACAGGAGGTAATTTATGGCACAGAAGATAAATGCATGCATACACCCAAGATTAATCCCTGAAAGGAATGCTATGGTCTTTTGTAATTACAGTACTTATATGTGGTAAGAAAGCATTGCATGTGCCAGGCTGAGATAAGCCAGAATTCAGTCGTATTCAGTAGTGCTAAAATATACCTGCTTAGCCAGGAGGGTGTTTCACAGCACTTATACAGTTCAAACATGCTCTCCAGCCATCTTGATTTTGTGTTAAAAGTTTATCTAAAACAAACCATTAAAAATGTATATAAAATAAATTTATAGATATTTTAAACCCCAATTCTTTCTTAGATTTGTTTTAAATATGCTTCACTTTTAACTGCTAATAAACTGGGTCTCACCTGTTGGAGTAGCAGCGGTTCTCACTGGTCGGGGTGTAATGGAGGTTTTCAGAGGACTGCTTGAAGACCTCACCGAACTTGACGATGATGTTGATGCATTTTTGCATCCTGCTTTAAATAAAATGGTTAAGAGACAACATATTACACTTTCCACCAGGAGCATCAGCAAACCTAAAGATGACTACATGGTAGATTCAAATTATGTTTAAATGAGAAAAAGAAAGGTTTTATTAAAAAACATAAATAATAGGGGTAAATATAAAACTATGGGCATTAAAAATATAAAACTATGGGCATTTAAAATAGTGTTACGAAAAGAAGAAGAAAAAAAATCTGAATGTAAACTGGCATCAGATTTCTTATTTTAATTAATTTTACATAACATCAACTGTTTATTTATTATTAACTTTACTTGAGAACTAGTCACATGCTACAATATTTCTATAATGAAATACGATTTGTAGTTATGTTGAATACTAATAAAAAAGTTTTCAGTTCTTTTACAACACTATTTTCCATGTTGCATGTTTCTATGTTGGTCCATGTTGCATTTACAATTTTGTCAAACTTTGTCAAACGCCAGCTTTTTTTTTTTTTTTTTGGAAGCAAACCTAATCTGGACTTTTCAGTAGTCTCAGTCTGCTTGTTTGGTGAACACCAAGTTTCAGATGACTATACTCAAACAATTACCAATTAACAGAAGTTGCCCTAGAGTTCGTTTTAATTAAACCAAATATGCCGGGTCTGAACACACCCAGCGACAAAAGGTTAAAGTTTTGTTTTTGTGTGCCTGCAGGAACAGTGTTGGGAATTACCCTAAATTGATGAACAAAGCTGAAGCCATTAATGGCTTTTTTACTTTCTTTTCTTTTATTGTTCTTTTGATTTTGAGGAAATTTACTAGGGCATGCCCTGACCTGACAGTGTGTTATTCCTTCACCTGAGGTGCAGAAGTTAATGCTTACAATGTTGTTGAATGTATGACTCATACCTGATGATGCATTCCTGGTAGGTGGACATTGCAGCTTGCTTCTAAAATAAGTTGCCCTGTTAGATGGTGTTTTACTCAGGCTTCCCACAGAAGGCTCTTCATGATCTGATGAAGTGAAAAAAGTAAATCATTAATCCTACACACTATCAGTACTTGCTCATTATTTTTTTTGTATGTAAAGTTTCAGTCTCCAGACCTTCACCAGTCACACTGTATATAGACACTCACGGCATTATAAAATAAACAGTTAATATTAAATGTCAAAATATGCAAACCAATCATTATATATATATATATATATATATATATATATATATATATATATATATATATATATATATATATATATATATATATAAATATAAATATATAAATATATATATATATATATATATATATATATATATATAAAAGCTCTTATATATATATAATTGCTAAAATAAATACAAGCAGAAATCTTCCTTGGTGGCATAATGGCAGGAATAAACAAGTCAAGAAGCACTTTTTAATTCGATCACAAGTCAGCAATGCTAAATTTAAAACATTAAACATTTCAAGCTTGCCCGCTTTCAAACAGTTGCAGAGGTAGTCAAAAACTACTACATATAGTAGTGTAAATGCTTATGTGATTGAATGCCTACAGACTACTCATATTCCTAAAAAAATAGCAAACATGCATTTATACCAAACTAATCGGATAGCATTTAAATTTTGCTGTTTGAAATTTAAGCCTGGTGTAAGGATGAAAAACTTAATAATAATAATAATAATAATAATAATAATAATAATAACAAAACAAAATGGATAAGAGATTAAAACTTTGTATAATAATCAGTCATTAACCAGAATGCATCTAAATACCAGCAATCAGGGTAAATTAATAATAATAGAATGAATGAATTAGTAATTTTCTTTAGAATAAAAACTGATAAAAACACTAAGCTCACTGTACCTCTTTGTAATAATAATCCTGCTTCTATAAATCGACGATCTCTGTTGTTTTTGCATGTTCTCTCTGATAAGCTGAAGTTTGATATCTTGCTGGTTTTGAAATGTTACCATGAGAACAGCAAACACCATGCTGAAAGACCTCTGTTACAATTAACAGCAATATTCCCAACCGACAAACAGATCTGAATACATTAGAAACACAATTTCATATCCATTTTTGTTATTTTACTTACTCCACAACTGATTCTTTGGTTTCCCATGAAAGGCAGAAAACAAAGGAATAATACAAAAAAGATAGAATCCCATAAGGAAGCATGTCAAAAGAGTCAGATCAAACTGAAAAAAAGAGCTTGACTGCAGATTCAATGTTGAATTAGTAAAAACATGCTCGGAAATTTTGGTCAAAGTGCCTCCACGTGCAGACAAGACCTTCCACTGAGAGTTAAGCATGGTGAAAAGAAAATAAGATCCGTTTGCAGAAAATCCTCATTTTCATGTGAAGAGATTTCTCAAACCCCAACAAAGTGAACTGAGGCGGAATAAACCCTGCCCTGCAGACGTGTGGGACTGAGTGACCCGATCCATACAAACATCATGTCCATCAACCAATGAGGGCAGCAGACCATAAAAAAGCTAAAAGTGAGCCTAGACTAAAAAGAGTGGCCTATATTCTTAATGTGTAAATCTCCTGATCAAACTGAAATCAGGAAATGACTTAATTTAAGCTCAAATCACCTTCCAAATTTGGGATGTCTTAAAAATCTAGTCAAAGTAAATGGAATCCCTTAGAAAGGATTTAATTTTTAGGCTTTGGATTAAAGGCTCCACTGACCTAGCAGAGAATTTGGGTCAAGCTGGATGGTATGAGGTTGATCTTTTCTGATTAATTTTTCAAACCCATCA